ACTGATGCACAACCTCTTATGTGTCTGGATGTGGACTAGCGAGGGCCACCGCAGCATGTCTCTGATGATGACGAAACACAGGTGCCAACTGCTGTGGCTTTCTGCAGTGTGCAGACCGGCAAGGAGGGCAGGGTTGAGGAGTGGATGAATGATGATGTGGAGGATGATGAGGTCCTAGACCCCACATGGAATGAAGGTCATGTGAGTGACGTGTACAGTTTGGAAGAAGAGGCGGTGGTCGCACAAAGGCACCAGCACAGCATAAGAGGGAGCAGGGTGCAAAAGCGGAGCAGCCGTCCCCTAAACAGTACGCCTGCTACTGCCCACCGCACCCAGGTACCGAGCACATCAAAGCCAGCTCCAAGGAGTTCTCTGGCGTGGCAGTTCTTCAGACAATGTGCTGACGACAAGACACAAGTGGTTTGCACGCTGTGCAATCAGAGCCTGAAGCGAGGCATAAACGTGCTAAACCTGAGCACAACCTGCATGACCAGGCATCTACATGCAAAGCACGAGCTGCAGTGGAGTAAGCACCTCAAAAACAAAGAAAGGTCTCAGGCTCCTCCTGCTTCCTCTTCTGCTGCTGTCTCTGCCTCTTCCTCCACCTCTGGAGTCACAGTGGCACCTGCCACCCTGCAAACAGAGGATGTGGCAGCAATGCCACCACGTCCCCCACCATCCCCAAGCATCTCCACACTGTCCCATGGAAGCGTTCAGCTGTCCATCTCCCAATCACTGGAGAGAAAGAGGAAGTACCCCCTAGCCACCCGTGATCCCTGGCCCTGAATGCCAGCATTTCAAAATTCATGGCCTTTGAAATGCTGTCACTCCGTCTGGTGGAGACTTACAGTTTTAAAAACCTGATGGCGGTGGCTGTCTCACAGAACGTGGTTCCAAGCCGCCACTACTTTTCCAGGCGAGCCATCCCATCCCTGCACAACCAATTGACGGACAAAATCAGGTGTGCACTGCACAACGCCATCTGTGGCAAGGTCCACATAACAACAGATACGTGGACCAGTAAGCACGGGCAGGGATGCTACATCTCCCTAACTGCACACTGGGCAAATGTAGTTGCAGCTGGGCCTGAGGCGGATAGCAGTTTGGCGCATGTCCTTCCACCACAGAGGATTGCAGGACATTTCTCTTTGCCTCCTGTTGCCTCCTTCTACTACTCCGCTTCCTCCTCCTCTACCACCACCTCATCCAGGCAGTGTAACACCTTCACCACCAACTTCAGCACAGCCAGGGGAAACGACAGCAGGCTGTTTTAAAACTCATATGTTTGGGGGAAAAACCCCACACCACGCAGGAGCTGTGGACGGGCATGGAACATCAGACCGATGAGTGGTTGCTGCCACTGAGCCTCAAGCCCGGCCTAGTGGTGTGCTATAATGGACGAAATCTCGTAGCAGCTCTGGGCCTAGTCGGTTTGCTGCACATCCCTTGCCTGGCACATGTGCTGAATTTGGTGGTGCAGAAATTCCTGAAAAACTACCAGATATATCAGAGCTGCAGTGTAACTTCGGCCTTCCCGCACACCGCCTCATATGCGACGTGCCCACAAGGTGGAACTCCATCTTGCACATGCAGGAGAGATTGTGCGAGCAGCAGCAGGTGATAGTGGAGTTTCAGCTGCAGCACGCACGGGTCAGTCGCTCTGCGGAACAGCACCACTTCACCACCAATGAGTGGGCCTTCATGCGAGACCTGTGTGCCATTTTGTACTGTTTCGAGTACTCCTCCAACATGGCCAGTGCTGATGACGCTGTTCTCAGCCTTACTATCCTGCTTCTATGTCTCCTTGAAAAAATGCTTCGGGCGATGATGGAAGAGGATGTGGCACAGGAGGAAGAGGGGTAATTTCCACGGTTATCAGGCCAGTCATTCACAAGTGCCAGGTACACAATTGTCCAGCCAGGGCACAGTTCTGGAGGATGAGGATGAGGATGATGATGATGAGGATGAGGAGGAGAAACCGTGTTCACAGCAGGGTGGCACCCAACGCAGCTCGTGGGCATCACTTGAGAGTGGCTGGGGGTATACGGAGGACACAGATGATACACCTTCCACAGAGGACAGCTTGTCCTTGCCTCTGGACAGCCTGGCACACATGAGCGACTATATGCTGCAGTGCCTGCGCAACGACTGCCGAGTTGCCCACATTCTAACTTGTGCTGATTACTGGGTGGCTACTCTGCTGGATCCCCGTTACAAGGACAACGTGCCGCCATTAATTCCCTCACTGGAGCGTGATCAGAAGATGCATGACTACAAGCGCACGCTGGTAGACGTGCTGCTGAGGGCATTCAAAACTGACACCGGGGGCTCAGTGGAAGCACAAGGCGAAGGCAGAGGTGGAGGAAGAGGTGGCCAATGCAGTTGGGGCACCGCCAGCACCTCAGAAGGCAGGGTTAGCATGGCCGAAATGTGGAAAAGCTTTGTCAGCATGCCACAACAACCAGCACCACCATCTGATATGGAACGTCTTAGCAGGAGGCAGCATTTCAGCAACATGGTGGAACAGTACGTGTACACACGCCTACACGTACTGACTGATGGGTCTGCCCCATTCAACTTCTGGGTTTCCAAATTGGGCACATGGCCTGAGCTTGCCCTTTATGCCTTGGAGGTGCTGGCCTGCCCTGCAGCCAGTGTATTGTCTGAACGTGTGTTTAGCATGGCAGGGGGCGTTATTACTGACAAGCGCAGCCGCCTGTCCACAGCCAATGTGGACAAGCTCATGTTTATTAAAATGAACCAGGCATGGATCCCACCAGACTTGTCTGTACCTTGTGCAGAATAGACATTTATACCGGCCTCACCCAGCCATTGTTATACTCAAGTGCACTTATTTTTTGTTTTCTTTTTTTATATGTCCCAATATTTTGGAGGCTACCCCAATTAAAAATAAAAAAATAAAAAACAAAAACAAATAAAAAACAGTGTTGGCTTCCTCCTCCTCCTCCACCGCCGGTTCCACCTACACCGCCACGGTCACCGCCTCCTCACCCTATGGGTCACTTATATATTGTCAACATTTAAAGACTTTCAGCTGTTTGCAATGAGCAAATCAAACAAAAGCAATTAAAAAAGCTCTACACAACAAATACTTCAAGTGGTTTCCTCCAATTCAACTGAAGATGTAGCTCATAATGACCTCTCCTATTTCAAAATGATTCAACCCCGCGAATAGAATCCACCACAACAGCACAAATATGCAAAACAGGTACACAACTCATGTAACTAATCAAGGACGTCATTAGTTGCACCAGGTGTGCTTGAGCTGGAACACTTGAAATACCTGAATTAGTTAGGGGTTTGTTGAGTGTTACGTTTGACTGCATGTTAAAAGAATGGTCCAAAAATTAATAGAATAGATCATCATCATCCTTCACATACAAGGAACAGGATACAAAAAGATAACAAATGTACTGAATGTTCCTAGAGGCACCATTGGAAGCATAGTTAGGAAGTTCAAAGTTGAGGGAACAGAGGTTAGACTACCTGAACAGGGCAGAAAAAGGAAGCTATCAATTGCTGCAACCAGATTTTTGAGAAGGCAGATTGTGAAAAACCCTTGGGTGACTGAAAAAGACCTACAGCAAGACTTGGTGGTAACAGGCACTGAGGTTTCAGTGAGCACAGTAAGGGGCGTACTAAATGCAGAAGGTTTCCTTGCCAGAACTTCAAGACGTACTCCAGTACTGACCCAAAAGCACAAGAAAAGTCAGCTTCAATTTGCTCAATATCATATCAGGAAAGCCATAGAAGTTTGGGGATTCTGTTCTGTGGTGTGATGAAACAAAACTGTAAATTTTCAGCCCAATGGATCATCAACATGTCTGCATGTATGTTCTTGAAACTCAACTATATAATATATAGAGAGAGATAATATAATAGATATTCCTTCTCTATAAAAGACCTCACATAGTCTGCTAGTTCCTGAATTTTGATAAGAGACTACTGCATTGTATTGTTCCTTATTTAACTGACAAACTCTTCCAATAGAGCCAACTTCTAATAACGAATTTACAATTGTACAATGCCATCTACTAACTCTGTATTGAACTGGTTCTTCTTGAAAATGTGAATTGTACGTTTATATGCTCAATAACATTTTTAATAAAATATTAAAATAAAATAGGCATGACAGGTACTCTTTAAGAGATAGGAGGCTATATTCACTTTCTAAAAAAAAAGTAACTCCAATAAACACAAGGATTTACTGCTCTAACATTGATAAATATAATGAAAGAATAGTGGTAATCGATTTGAACGATATTACAGGTTATATTTTGAGTATTTTTTTTGCTTTGAGAAATATTTTTCAATTCACAGATTGTTAACTATATTTTGGTAACATATTCTAGACGACAGAAAGCTCATGAGAAGCCAGAAAAAAACGACATTTATTGTGGTATTCAATAGTTCCCTCTCAGATTGAATTAATACACATCTTGCGTAGTGGTCAGGTATCAGTACTCAACAAGATGGAGTCAGACACCTTAGTTGGCCTGCATCTCATTGGGCCAAAGTGCAAGTCAATTCCTCAAGTTCCGTTCTGTGCTTTTCATTTATTCAATAAACTAAATTATATGCAAGGTTTCTACTAGCACTCCATAGCCAAGGACTAAACAGAAAGCATACTTGTCAGATGCATTACGTGTTTTGCCGTGCTAATACTTTATTCAGCTGCCTTCTGTTCTATATTTAGAAAATTTGAGTGAAAAAAGCAGATGCAAGTATCGGCACAGATTTTATTTACTTATTTAGTAGTTTGTTCTGTCTTGCAAATTTATTTAGAAAAATGTACTTTTTGTTTATACATCCACATATGCACACTGCAAAGTCTGACCTACTATGAAATTTTAATATCCCTTTGGATGCAGTTGCAGTCTTTTTTTGCAACGTGATGTTCATATGAGAAGGTAGTACTCCCATACTTTCAGGGAAACTCTACAGCTGCTTCAAAGAATTAAATCAGTGTCAAGTAAACAGATAGAGTTCACACAGTTAAAAGCATCTGATAGTGACTTGTGAGCTGACGCTGTATGTCCATCCACTTGCAGAAAAGCAGTCTACTATACAATTATTGCCAAGTTGCCTGGGGACATAAAACCTAAGCAAATCAGGAAACTATACCAGGTTCTTGTGCTTTCAGAGTGCAAATATTAGTAGTAAGTACCTCCCATTTATACCAATGTTAAAATGTATTTATTTGTAGATATATTAAGTTCCATTATATAGTCTGTAGTACTATTACACAAAAAAAATTAAATGAATCATTAAAGAATTGTAATTTTCAGACATATTTAAGTATCTTTTGCACATATATTTATGCATATTATCTTCCTGACTGGGATCGTATTGTATTGTATCAGAGCTTTGTGCAGTGGGAATCCATTTCCCTAACATATATTTGCAGGGGAATCGAATACACACACTTCTTATTGTGTATATGTACTGCATACAGTAAATGAACATTCAAAAAGATAATTGGACATAACAATGCATATCAACAAATAAGCAATCAAAGAATAGATCAACGGTCATGTATTCTTAAGCATTGATTAAGGCCAGAGTATTATCTGTATAATCATGTGCTTCTTCCTCCACACAAGGCCAACATCATTGTGACGGAGTGACAAGGCACCACTGATAAGTTGGCCCAGCTGCCAATGCGCTAGATGTGATTAGAATGTCCTATACAATGTCTCTTACATATCTACATGCCAATATTTTAATTTCTAGTATTTTGGTATTTGACTATAAAACAATCACCACTGCGTACTGTTCTATCCACAAAATAGTGATTAAAGATGGTGGCTGTATTCTGTTTAACAGAATCATTGGGGGCTTATGATGAGGGTTAAATATAATTGTATTTATCTGTTTATTATTTGGCTAGTTACAATGTTTACTTTTACCATTGTGTTGCTATTTCTGCAGAATTGCACATATTTTTATATACACAAAAAGTTTATTTTTATGATTGTGTATTGCACGTATATGTTCCAGTACTCATAAAATAACTACACACATGACAACATATACATAGGGAAGATATTTAAAAAATTGAGTGTAGAATCACTAGAATTACAAGGACTAGTCCAGTTGAAACGGTGAACACTCTGTCTGGCAAAGTAAAGTTGAAGGGCATTTGTAAGGATATACATTGATCAAAACATTTGAGGATATGCGGCACAGGCGGCCGCCTTTGGGCGCCAGAACAGGGGGCGCAAAAATCTGAATCCCCTGCCTCTAGCTGGGGACTCTGATTTTTCAAATCACCTGTCACCCTGCAGCCTGCAGCCAACATACAGCAGCCAGGGAAATCAGCCGGCCTTTCCTGATGATGTCAAGAAGAAGGGGCGAGACTTCCACTGCTCCTCTCTCAGACTCCCCAGCAATCCACTGGGCAGTCATGGAGAAGAGCATGAAGTCATACCACCTTCTCCTGACATCATCAGGAGAGGCCAGATGACTTCCCTGGCTGCTGTGTGCTGGCTCCAGGCTCCAGGCTCCAGGCTCCAGCTCCTGCCCAAGGTAAGTCTCAGGGAGGGGGGAGGGAATACACAAATTGTTTGGTTATTTTTTTAATCACTTTTTTTTTATGCAGTTTTTTTTAAATCAGTCCCTGTCCCTCCACCATAGACCCTGTGCCCTCCTGTGTACTTCTCTACAACACCTGTGCCCCCACCCTGTCCCCTCTCTCAGTCCCTGTTACCTCTCTCAATTTCTGTGCCTCCACTACAGCCCCTACTCCCCTTAACACAGCTCTTGTCCCCCCCCACCACAGCCTCTGCCCCCCCTCTACCACAGCTCCTGTCCCCACCTACCACAGCCCCTGCCCCTTCTCTCACTAACTGTCCCACCCCTCACCACAGCCTGGTTCCACTCTCACCAGCCCCTGCCCCCCCTCTCAGCCCCTGTGTACCACACCACAGCCCCTAACACCCTCATCACAGCTCCTGTCCCCCCTCACCACAGCTCCTGTCCCCCCTCTCAGTCCCTTTGCACCCCACCACAGTCCCTGTGCACCCCACCACAGCCTCTGCCCCCCTCAGCCCCTGCCCCCTGTACCACCCCTCACCACAGCACCTGTTCCCCTCTCACCAGCCCCTGTTCCCCTCTCACCAGCCCCTGTCCCACCAGCCCACCAGCCCCCTGACCCCTTTTGCAGGCCCTGTCATCCCCCTCTGCAGGCCCTATCCTTCCCTTTACAGCTCCTGACTCCTCTACTATACATCCCTCCAACTACAGCCTCTATCACCCCACATGCAGCCCTATTCTTTTACACCCCATACCTCCAGTACAGCTCCTATTCCGTTACTACAGTCCTTACCTACCACTACAGTCCCATATCATTCCAACTACAGCCACTCTCCCCCAATTGCAGCCCATATAACCCACACCACAGTCCCTTTCCCAAATTGTCCCCTCTCACCAGCCCCTGTCCCCTCCTCATCAGCTCCTGCCCCTCCAGCCCCTGTCTTCCCTTCTATGACCCTGTCCCCCAAGCCCCAGCCCCTGTCCCCACTCTCAGCCCCTGTGTACCGCACCACAGCTCTTGTCCTCCCCTCACCACAGCTCCTGTCCCTCCTCCCAGCCCCTGCCCCCCCCCTGCAGGCCATGTACCACCCCCCCACAGGACCTGTCCTTCCCTCTACAGCTTCTGACTCCTCTACAATACATCCCTCCAACTACAGCATCTATCACCCCACATGCAGCCCTATTCTTTTACACCCTATACCTCCAGTACAGCTCCTATTCCCTTACTACAGTCCTTACCTTCCACTACAGTCCCATATCATTCCAACTACAGCCCCTCTACCCCAATTGCAGTCCATATAACCCACACTACAGCCCCTTTCCCAAATTGTCCCCTCTCACCAGCCCCTGTCCCCCCATCAGCTTTTATCTATAAGTTCATCTGAATATTATTATAGTAGAAATTTTTATTAGTAATCAAACTATTTTAATGTTTCAAAAATAATCTAATTTATTTCCAATAAATAGGAATATCACTTTTAGCAGATAGTAACTGTAGTAAAAAATCAAAAATATAATTTCTTTCTTATATTCATTTTCATCTTTAGAATTAATGTAACTAACTATACAGAACTAAGGAGGTGATGAATGTGACGGTAAAATATCCAAAACTTTGAAACATGTTGGTTTATGTACAGTAATTTCCATATGAAATTTGCAAAACAGCTAAAACAAATTCCCCAAGGCTGCACAGCAAAATAATTAGAATGTTTATTAAAAAAAGATTGCCATCTAAAAGAAATGAAGCGACCATGCAACCATGCGACCATAACAGAGAATACTTACTAAGTAGACAAAATGCTGAAAAGATCACACTTTTTGACACACATATAATATAGTTGGATTCCCACAATTGACATTTCATAGACTTATTTACATTTTCAAAGAAATCTAACTTATCAAACTGACAACAAAATGTTCTGATATATTTGTTTACAGTGCTTTAACTCCCTAGTGATATTTCATGCATTTGTGAGGACTTTTTGGCACTCTTGTTGAGAGATAGTTCTCATATTTTATGCTTTCTCACTAAGAACATCCTTATATATGGCATGATTGTTTTTCAAAGGACTGATGTGGCTTTCTCTGATAATATTATAATACAGTAAATATATTAAATCATACTTTCTTACCAACTAGTACAGCTAAAGAAAAATACCTTAAAATAGATTGATTTATAAAAATAACACTCCAAGCACCATAACCACTACATCTCACTGTTGTAATTATGGTTCTAAGAGTTCCCTGATCCCCTAATTCATACCGCAGGACTTAGTTCAGGTTAGCTAGCGTAATTTTCAGCCTATGACTTACTGTGTTAGTAGTAAAGGATGATGACGAGTGCCTTGCTGACGCCAGGAAAGAAGTCAAACCATTGAAAAACAATTTGACTACTTTACCTAGGGGCATTTTGACACTTTTAATTGTAATCATTTTATGACTATTCTTACAAATCTTCTAGTTGTATCTATTTTTTGCAAGCATAACATTACATTTTCCACTGTAAATATTGTAATACTGATGTGGACTAATAAATGTGGTCCAAAAAATACTTTGAGTTCAGCTACATCCCCAAAATAAAGGAATACGCACAATAGTAGCTTTCTAATAGTTTGAAAGTTGTAGAGTCAAATACCTGTTTTGACAGATTGATTTATAGGCCAATTTAACTTTTAGGGTAAAATAATAGCTCCACCATGTCACAGGTGGTGGTCCGAAGACCGGGACCCCTGTATGCCTGATGTTAAAAATAGTAGTCTCAGCATGGAAGTAGACAATCAGAGTCACAGTACTTACCTACAAAGAAAGGAGCAGAGGCAATGAAACCACTGCTTGCAGGAACAGACTGTAACAAAAAGGATTAATGGCAAAGGAAAGGGTGTGGCAACACAAAACAAAAATTTAAAGGAATCCAGGAGACTGGGAATTCCAGGAACTGAATTAAGGAATGAACCCAGAAAACTCAGCAAAAAGAAAACCAGACATAGAATAGAAAACCAGAAAAACCAAGGAAAACTAAACAACAATTGTAAAAAGAGTACTGGATACCAGAAGGCCAGAAATATCCATAGAATGGAACAGGACATGGCACACCACACCCATCAAGGCACATTATTTTTAAGAGAGGACAACATTGATGACAACTTGAGTCATTTTACATGACCATTTCATCAACAATTTCTGACAAATTTAGCAGTAATATAATTCTTATTTAATTTCCTCACACAATAGTAGAACAAACCAGGCTTCTGTGAAATTCATAGGCTTGGTTTGTTCTTCTACATCCAAGCAGAGGCGTAGCGTGGGGGGTGCAGGGGGGGCCGGCCGCACCGGGCGCAACATCTGGGGGGCGCGCTCAGGACCGGCCCCCCCATGCTGCAGCCGCCCGAGCACTCTGTAGAGAGCCTCAGGCGGCTGCAGCTTTGCCCGGGCGGTGCGTCCATGAGGGCGGACCGCACCGCCCGGGCGCAGCATGGGGAGAGGGGCTGACAGGAGGGAAATGCTCAGCGCTCCCTCCTGTCACTCCCTCTGTAGTAGCGTGGCCGAGCCCTGCAGTATGATGGTCCGACGGGTACAGGGAGCATCTGTCTCCTGTACCCGGCCGGACTAACAGGAAGTGCACACAGAGTGCACAAGCAACCTGTACCCGCGGACCATCATGCTGCAGGGCTCGGCCACGCTACAACAAAGGTGGGGGGGAGGAGAAAGAAATTGGGAGGGAAGGGGGGAGAAGAAATGGGGAGGGTGGGAGAAGAAATTGGGATGGGAGGGGGAGAAGGAAATTGGGATGGAGGGGGAGAAGAAATTGTCAGGGGAGGGTAAGAAGAAATTGGATGAGAAGGGGGAGGGGGGAGAAGAAATTGTCAGGGAGGGGGTAAGAAGAAATTGTGAGGGGACTGGGGGAGAAGAAATTGGGAGGAGGGGGAGAAGTTGTGCCATTGAGGGGGGGAGGGGTGAGAAGAAACTGTGAGGAGGGGGGGAAGAAGAAATTGGGAGGGGCAGAAGAAATTGGCAAGAAGAAATTGGGAGGGGGGGAGAAGAAATTGGCAGGGGAGAAGAAGAAATTGGCAGGGGAGGGAAGAAGAAATTGGGAGGGGAGGGGTAGAAGAAATTGGTAGGGGAGGGGGGAGAATAAATGGGGAGGGTGGGATAAAAAGAAATTGGTAGGGGAGGGGGGAGAAGAAATGGGGAGGGTGGGAGAAGAAGAAATTGGCAGGGGAGGGGGGAGAAGAAGAAATTGGTAGGGGAGGGGGGAGAAGAAGAAATGGGGAGGGGAGGGGGGGAGAAGAAGAAATTGGTAGGGGAGGGGGAGAAGAAGAAATTGGTAGGGGAGGGGGGAGAAGAAGAAATTGGTGGGGGGGGAGAAGAAATTGACGGGGGGTGAGAGTTACAGGGGAGGAAGGGGCAATGAGAGTGGGAAGGGGGAGGGGAGAAGAGAGTGACAAGGGAGGGAGAGGGGGGAGAAGAGAGTAACAAGGGAGGGGGGAGAGATTGACATCCATCACACACACATGCAATGCACCCCTTGCACACAGAAAAACACACAATGCATTACACACACAGACACACACACACACACACAAACAATGTAACCCTTACACACAATGCATCCCTTACACACACAGAAACACACAATGCATTCCTTACACACACTCAATGCACCCCTTACACACACTCAATGCACCCCTTACACACGCACACACTGCATCCTGTACATACACAGAAACACACCTTGCAGCCCTTACACATACAAACACAGATTCACACAATGCATTCCTTACACACATATCAGGACATCCCCTACACACTCCACCCCCTGTGAACAAACTCATTGGTGGAACATGAAGGTGGACCCTGGGACCCAGACCTTGAGCTGTGTAAAGGGCCCCCCAAAAATGGAGCTGCTTCCCGTTCTCCTAGTATATTGATTTTTGTGACCACAGTTACAAACAGCCTCCAGAGAGCCTGTTCTACACCAGACCAGTGGAGCCAGACTGCAGCTAGAGCCCATCATCATCCTCATCTCGTTGTAAGTAGGCAATCTAGTATATTATTTGTGGCACTAATCTCTAATTTACCTCACATTAAAGAAACACTATTCCGTTGTTGAAAAATTTGCGCTAATTAAAAGCAGGCGAATTTAAATTAATCTGTATATTATATACAGATTGATATCTTGCACTTCTATTAAATAATTACAATTAGAGGTACAGGATTGAGGAAGTTGGCTCCATCTAGCCCAGTCTTGGATCATCTCCAGGGTATGGTTCCATTTTGATGTTTAGTTTTTGTTCTTGATATTTTTTGTCGTTTACGATGGTTGTGAGACGACATATAATAGCATGGCCCATGCTAGGTTACTACATTTGTATATTTGTATTCATAGACCTGCTGAAAATGTGGAGAATGTGTGTAATGCATGTTCGCACTCAATAAAGTGTTGGAAAATAAACTTGTATTTAGATGCATTTTACTTTAATTACATAAGTATTTTCATAACAAACAATACATGTGCTTGGGGGGTAAGGGTTTCTTTAACTAATCTAGTGGAAGAGACTCGAGTGCTAAAATCCACGGGTTAGGGGGCGCAAATTACTTGCCTTGCCCAGGGTGCTGACAACCCACGCTACGCCACTGCATCCAAGATTAGTAATGTGCTACATGATCTGAGTACAGCAAATACCATATAAAGTCCGGGTGAAGTCACAAGTTCAAATGAATTTTGTATTTGACATGTGTTAGTTTGTAGTATTCTGTTCTGGAAATTATTATTATTTAATACTTCACATGCCCCAAATGGATTTAAAGATAATGGGACCAATAAGCAGGGACCATTGTAGATGTGGGTCTAACAGTGCTCCTGTAACATTCATTTTTGGACAACGGTGATGTTATGTGAATCTTACAGAGCAGATGCTGCTAAGCATAGAGAGCCAATAAGCTGTACAGGCGGCAAGGAAAGTGGAAATCTGCAAATATATAAAAAAAAAAAGAAGGATTCAGGATTTATTATGGGTTTAATAATTTAATAAACCTCTTAATCCCATAGATTGCATGGACATCAAATAGAGTAGAAGACCAAATCACTACGAAATTACTCTACTTAATTATAACAAATATAAACAAAACATTAAGTCATCTTGTGTTTTTCTAAGATTTTCTAAATGTTTTCATTAGATCTATGTAGCATTTACATATTTAAAGTTTACATTTTCGCTGACAAAATTTGTGTATTTTGTTACAGGCCTTTGCCATATGGATCGCATTTCCATTGAACCTAATCTTAGCGAAGCTCTTTCTGTAGTGAGAACCTCTCATTTGAAGGCAATGCTGGAGGATTGTCTATTCAAAGCAAAACGCGCAAAACTGCAGTGCTCAAAAGTACTTGTTCCCAGAGATCTCATCACAAAAGTGGCTCAGGAAGTCTTGAGGCTCTCCTTAAATGAACCTTGTGGACTGCGTGGCTGCATTTTATATGTGCGAATGGAAAGTGAAAATAAGGTTATGAATCTAGACACACTAGTGTATGATACTACAGTGGAACCTACCTTTGAGTTGTCGCTGGTATTAAAACAAGAAAGGCAAACATGGGAATATTTCAGAGATATTCTCATAAACAGGACTTGTTTTCCTAATGTATTAAGAAGCATCCTAAAATTAAGTTCTAAATTCCTGCTTGTCAAAAAGAGATTATATTTTTCAGTAGTAGAAACTGGAAATGAAGATTAGAAGAAATAATCATGCAGGTCTGTTTTGTTCCTTATTTTGTTAACAATCACCAGAAAAATCTTTCTTCATTTTTAGTATCCGACCTAATCAACCAATGTGTTTCAAGGTAATATTATGTATCTATTTGTATGTATTTTTATCACAAATATAAAATTATGTTCTAAATTTAAAGTCTCCTTCAGCACTTCATTCAAACGCACAGTGACTGACTGGCAGTCACTGTCTGACCTTGCATTGTCTCCATGTAGACCACAAATATTGTTGCCAACTGACATCACCCAGAAAATAGCATTACAATGCAAAAAGTGAAAGAAACAGTGTTATGGGTGCTTATTACCAATGAAAAAAGAAGCATAAATACACACTACAAATGGGTGAATATAAAAAAAAAACTAAACAATAAAGTGGGCTGCTCTTATATAGTTGACAACACAACCAATTACTTACAGAATAAGTTGCATGTAATATTTCTTATATATTATTTGTGGTTGGGAATAGGGAACAAATATGACATCCCTAGATATAATGAAAGTCGGATGTAGTGTACAGTGACCAACGTGTGGGTAAGTCTGTAACGTAAGGGCTCACCTAGGGAAAAAAATTAGTTTCTAAGAAATGGTTAGTTAACTGAAAGGTGGGAAGGATCAATAATCCCATGCAAGGATGACATGCCCCCAGTCAAGCAGCAAATATTTAAATCCCTCCCATAATTCCAGGTTTTACAGCCTTCACATTTGCATTTGGGGAAAAAGACTAAATATTAGACATCTACATTAATTTTCAGAAGAATACGATTTTGGACGAAATTTCAGACTTTTCCATATTCGTTTACAAAAAATTAAACAAAAGTAATACATACAAAATATAAACGAAACGAAAGGGCAAATGCCGAATGCATTACCTATTTGTTTCAGTTCTTTAGTTTAATAGACTCCATGCTGCAGGGAAATTAACCCCCACAGCATGGAAGAGAAACAAAAAATGCTGGTTCTTCCTGCAGCCTGAGGCCCGTGCAGGGCTGCAGGGAGACTCTTACAAGCATGTGTTAAGTGACTTATTATTATGTTATTATTTATTATTTATATAGCGCCAACAAATTTCGCAGCGCTTTACAGTGGGTAGATGAACAAACATGCAGTTGTAACCAGACAATTTAGACACACAGGAACAGAGGGGTTGAGGGCCCTGCTCAATGAGCTTACATGTTAGAGGGAGTGGGGTAAAGTGACACAAATGGTAAGCATAGCATTAGAATAATGACAGTTGCAAGAGAGGAATCAGTCGGGAGCTATTAACAGTTTAATAGTTTAATTGATAAGTTTTTATGAAGAAGTGGGTTTTTAATGATTTTTTGAACGAGTGGAAACTGGGTGAGCATCTAACGGAGGAGGGAAGTGAGTTTCACAGGAACGGTGCAGACTTCGAGAAGTCTTGAAGGCGAGCATTAGAGGTGGGAGTACGAACAGAAGATATACGTAAGTCTTCAGCAGAGCGCAAGGTCCTAGACGGGACATACTTGTGTATTAGGGAGAATAGGTAGGTGGGAGCAGCATTATGTAGAGATTTGAAATCAAGAACCAGAATTTTAAATTGAGCCCTATATCTTACAGGAAGCCAATGTAGGGACTGACAAAAGGGTGAAGCGTGGGAGGTGCGTGCGGACAGGCCGCCGCCGCCGCATTGATTATGGACTGTAACGGCGCAAGTTGTGAGCACGAAAGACCACTGAGTAGCGGATTACAGTAGTCAAGGCAAGAAAGGACAGTGGAATGGACCAGCACCTTAGTCACATCTAGCGTTAAGTAGGGTCGGATGCGTACAATATTTTTGAGATGAAAGCAACAGGATTTGGTGAAGGATTTGGTGAAGGAGAGGTCAAAGTCAAAGAGAACATCTAGGCAGCGAGCCTGCATGGTGGAGCTGATGGTAGCACCGTTGACTTGGAGGGAGACAGACACATGAGTAGCAACACTTGAGGGAGTAAAGACCAGAATTTCAGTTTTGGTCAAGTTTAGTTTAAGGAAGTGGGAAGCCACAGTTAGAAATAGCAGAGAGGCAGTCAGAGACACTAGTCAAGAGGGACAGGGAGAGATCAGGAGTGTACAGATAGATTTGCATGTCATCCGCATAGGCTTAACCTGTACTTGACGCAAATACCACTGCACATGCGCAAAAAAAGAAAAGAAAGAAAGATGGGAGCCGGCAGCACTACCAGCTCCCTACTTGTAATAAACAATATTAGTTCCTACCACCCCAACCCCCACCTGCATTAAAAACTATGAGGGTCACTACGAGGAGCCAGTGGCTTTTTCGGGGTTGAAGAAAGAAAAGAAAAGAAGAAAGAAGACATTTAATGGTAAATATGACATTTTATTTTACAGGGTGTTAGTTTTTTGTTCCCGCCTCACTATTTTTAGGGTTAGGGGGTAGGTAGGATTTAATTTTATTGGGGAGGGGGTGACTAGGGGTTTGGGAACCCCTAGTTACTTGTGGGAGGGGCTATTTTTTATATTTAGCCCCCACGTGCCGCTCATGAGTGGGGGCTAGAGGGGGAGACAATAGGTCCCCCCGTTTTTTACATAGGGCTCCCACCCACCTCTCATGGGTGGGGGCTGACAGGGACAATAGATCCCCCCCTTATTGTCATTTAGGGCACACACCTGCCACTCGTGGGTAGGGGCGAGGACAATATTTCCCCACTATTGTCTGTTAGGGTCCCCACCCTCCGCTCATGGGTTGGGACCTGGGGGGAGACTATAGGTCCCCTCCATTGATACTTAGGGCCCCCACCCGCCGCTCATGGGTGGGGGCCAGAGGGGATTATAGGTCCCCCCCTTATTGTCATTTAGGGCCCCCACCCGCTGCTCATGGGTGGGGACCATGCGGGAGAGGACAATAAGTCCCCCCGATTGTCTGTTAGGGTCCCCACCCGACACTTATGGGTGAGGGACTGGGGGGAAAATAGGTCCCCCCTTATTGTCATTTAGGGCCTCCACCCAACGCTCATAGGTGGGGGCCGTGTGGGGGAGGACAATAGGTCCCCCCAGAGGCTGCTCACTGTTTAGGCGACATGCCCTACTCAGGGCATGCCACGAGTTGGGCATGAGGGAGGATTTAACCTCCCTTTTATAAATATGGGGGTCATAGTGACTCCCATAGGTTTTAATGCGGGGGGTAGGCATTAATATTATTTATTACAAGGAAGGAGCTGGTAGCACTGCCAGCTGCTTTTATTTTTGCGCATGCTGTATTACTGAAAGACAAATGACATTCGGAATGGACAAATTAAATTTTTATTTAGTATGAATTAATTCATATGAAATGAAAATTTCACTGGTGCACATGTCTACCAAATATGACATTCCAAGATATAAGGAAAGTTGGTTTTGTTGTGCCGAGACCGATATGTGGGTAAGCATGTAAAAAAGTTAAAAAGAAATGTACAGTTGACCGAATATGCCATACTTACTTAGATGAGTGAACCAAACCAAAAACAAAAAAGTGCTCACTTATGCAAACAAAAAACAATTACTACTTTTAAAACACTGCAGCGTAGACCAATATAAAAGACAAAAAAAATAATAACAGTGCAATACTGTGTGGAATAAATAAGTGGTGGTGCAAAAAAAAAGAAAAAAGAACCTTTTTAAAAAAATGGCTCTAAAAGTATGAACTTTAACGCGGCAACAATACTTTCTGGTGCAGCAATGTGGCAAATTCTTGCAACACTGGATAAAAAAAAAAAGAAATGGAAAAAAAAAAAGTAGAGCACATTTGGTGCACTATGCATGATAAAATATAGAAACAGACAATTAACCAAATGGATGTGTGCTCACCTTGATTAGGAGTTTAAAAAATGACTGACTCCAAGTTTATAGGTATGATGTCAAATGTACGGTGATATTACTCCCTTTATAACCCAGGATGCAGTATAACATCCATAACATCGATAATTGATTATATTGTGCAAATACTTTTATTTGAAATAATTAAAACAAATTAAAACAATAAATTAATATCCTTCCTTGTATTTCAACTGACCGACATATACTATACCCTTCACACACTATACCACTCACACACACATTACATCCTCCACACACTACACCCCTCACACACACATTGTACCTATAACACACACATTGTATCCCTCCCACGCAGTGCACTCCTCACACACACAAACACCGCACCCTTCACACACCACCCAACACACACTTTGCATCCCTCACACACTACACCACTCACACTCACTCACACACACACACACACTACTACACAGCTCACACACACATATCAAACCCCTCACACACACACACACACTAGATTTCACTAGATCTAGATCTTACTAGATTCCCCAAAGACATCACTAATACACACAACCTACATTTCAGACACATACCCAGGATCCCCTACACATATTCCTTATACTAATATTGGGACCATATTCACAACCAGGTTATACTGCCGAAATCTCTGATGAGAGAGCAGAGTTAGTGTACAATTATATCCCCACTCTCTATCACAGCCTGAGTACTTAAAGGAACACTATAGGGTCAGGAACACAAACATGTTTTCTTTTCTTTCAGGAAGTGTTCTGGAGGATTGGAGGAAGGCAGATCTGGTTCCTATATTCAAAAAGGGTTCAAAATCCTTGCCTGGAAATTATAGACCTGTGAGCTTAACTTCTGTGGCTGGGAAAGTATTTGAAAGGTTATTAAGGGATAATATTCAAGAATTCCTTGAGAAGAACATGGTTATCAGCAAAAATCAGCACGGTTTTATGAAGCACAGGTCATGTCAAACTAACTTGATTGCGTTCTATGAAGAAGTAAGTAGAAGTATAGATCAGGGTGTTGCAGTGGATGTGATCTATTTGGATTTTGCTAAGGCATTTGATACAGTTCCAAACAACAGATTAGTGTTCAAACTCAGGGAAATCAGTCTAGATGAAAATGCTTGTTCTTGGGTAGAACATTGACTTAAGAACAGAGTACAAAGAGTTGTCATTAATGGTGAATTTTCAAGGTGGACAGAGGTGGCAAGCGGTGTCCCTCAGGGGTCTGTTCTGGGACCCCTTCTATTTAACATGTTTATAAATGATCTTGAATACAGCATTGAAAGTTATGTTTCAGTGTTTGCAG